CTCTTCTTAAAAACCTCCAGTGATGAAGCACCCATAACTTCTGATGACAAGCTGTTCCATTGGTTAATTGTCTTCATACTTAGGAAGTTTCTCCTTAATTCCATGTTGCTTCTCTGCTTGATTAGTTTCCATCTCTTGTTTCTTGTCCTCCCCTCTGGTGCTTTGGAAAATAAGTTGACCCCCTCCTCTTTGTGGCAACCTCTCAAATACTGGAATACTGCTATCAAGTCTCCTCTATCCTTCTTTTCTCTAGACTAGCCAAATCCAAATCCTGCAACTGTTTTTCATGTTTTAGTCTCCAGGCCTTTAATCATCTTAGTTGCTCTTCTTTTCACTTTTTCCAAAGTCTCAACATCTTTTTTGTAATGTGGTGACCAAAACCGGATGCAGTATTCCAATTGTGGCCTTACTAAGGCTTTATAAAACAGTAATAGTAGTAAAGTTGGAAGGGACCTTGGAGGTCATCTAGTCCAACCCCCTGCTCGGGCAGGAAACCCTACACCATTTCGGACAAAATCATTTGATTTTGATTCTATGCCTCTGTTTATACAACCAAGGATTGTACCAGTATTAGCTCTTTTGGCTGCTGACGCACATTGCTGGCTCATATTTAAGTGATTGTTCACTAGGACTCTAAGGTCCTTCTCACAGTTACTGTTTTTGAGCTAGGTTTCGCTTAATCTGTACTCGTTCCTTTGGTTTTTCCTGCTTAAGTGTAAAACCTTGCTTTTCTCCACATTAAATTTCATGTTGTTGGATAGGGCCTATTGCTTTGTCAAAAGTCTGTCAAGATCTTTTTAGATCCTGAACTTGTCTTTTGCTGTGTTGGCTATTCTTGCCAGCTTAGTGTCATCTGCAAATTTGATAAGTTCCCTTCTATTCCCTCATCTAAGTCAGAGATATCCAATCTTTCCGGGTTTGTGGCCCGGAGAGAAGGAGAGCAGCTTTCAAATTGGTGCACGTGCATGCACGCAAATCAGGCAGCGTGTACCACCACGGCTATAGTGGCCCTGTTTGCGCTCATGCGCAAACAGGGCTGCGGGTGCTAGTGTGAGTGGGGGGAATGTGTGCGCACACATGCGTGTGCCAGCCAGCCATTTCTATGTCTGCTGGCCAAGAGACTGCAGCCCAGTAGTGGGACCCCTGATCTAAGTCATTTATGGAAATATTGAAGAGTACAGGCATGTGTTCTTAGAAATACAACACTCAGTTGCAAAATCAGTTCTGATTAAGAAACAGCTTCAGATTTTTAATAATGCTAGACTCCAATAAACTAATCTAAATGTAGCTCTCAAGGGCAGTAAAAAAATTAAAATTCTAAATGGGCAATTTGTAGACATGTTTAAAAGCAGCCATTCACTTCAGAATAAAATCAAGTCTTCATAAAAGTGTTAAAAACACTATTTGAAATGTCCCTGCGTGGGTGACTGAATTGTTATACCTATTTTTGGAACACTGTTAAACCATCTGATGGGAAAGCTATTTGGTGCTGCTTATTATAGATACTTCAGCACAGGACATATATATAATTTTGGCTTTCAAAGGCCCCAGTAAAAGTTAATAAATGCATCATGTGATTTCCTTCAGTGTCTCCTTACCTTAGACCATCTAAAAGGATTATTGTTTGCCATCAATCAAATGACGTTGCGCATCTCAGGCACTTACTGTACTACAGCAGCACATCCTGCTTCAATTCTGCTTTGAAAGTCCCTTAGGACATGAATCTGGTGAGAGCAGCTTTTCTTGCCAAGTTCATTCTGCCCTTCCTATGCTTGAAGCAGCACAAGCATTTCACATCTCATTTTCCCTCCTCAGATCAGCCACAGGATGTAACTTAGTCCAGAGGTCCCCAACCTTTTGGGCACCAGGGACCAGTTCCATAGAGAGAGGTTTTTCCATGGACCGGAGGGGGTGTGGTTTTGTGTGCTGCCTGCATCCGGTGGCTGGGGCTTTCCTTGTTAGTGCAGCCCGGTTGCTGGCATGCCATGACCCGGTACTGGTCCATGGCCTAGGGGTTGGGAACCCCTGGCTTAGTCCGATGGGTCCAAAGTTATTCATTGAGTTTAGTTGCAAGAAGATCTGAACCTAAGTCACCCATGTCCTAAATGAACCTGCTACAAAACAGCTCAGAAAGACCCATACAGCTGTGGATTTACAACGGCCCACGCGTACTACTATAGGTAGTCCTTAACTTATGTCCACAACTGAGCCCAAAATTTCCATTGCTAAGCGAGACAGTTGTGAGTTTTGCCCCATTTTATGACCTGTCTTGCCATGGTTGTTAAGTAAATCACTGAGGTTTAAGTGAATCTGGTTTCCCCACTGACTTTGCTTGTCAATGGGCTGCAAAAGGTGATCACATGACCCCGTGACTCTGTAACTGTCATAAATATGAGCCTGTTGCCAAGCATCTGAATTTTAATCATGTGACCATAAGGATGTTATAACGGTGTTGTGAAAAATGGTCACTTTTTTCAAAGCCATTTAATACAGGACTACCTATATTAAAAAATATATAAACTCTATCCTATTTTAACACAACAGAAGTTATTAGGAGAATTGTACATTTCCAATTTGATCCTGAATTGGTGTTTCAAAATGCAATGGAGCAGATTTTTCTAAACCTGTTGAATGACACACATGGGGTCTCAAGAGAGATTAAGAGTCAAAAAGAAGACAATTCATACACAGTCAAATGCAGCCAATTTTCTATCACTTGAGCTTTGCCTCTTGATCAGGTGTTCGAGACAGGTGTCTGTTCTTAGACTAGAACAGGGGTAGGCAACCTTGGCTCTTTTATGACTCATGGACTTCAACTCCCAGAATTCCTGAGTCAGCTATGCTATGCTGACTCAGGAATTCTGGGAGTTGAAGTCCATGAGAATGACCCTAGGCCAGGGGTAGGCAACCTTGGCTCTTTTATGAGTCGTGGACTTCAATTCCCAGAATTCCTGAACCAGCATAGCTGGCTCAGGAATTCTGGGAGTTGAAGTCCATGAGTCATAAAAGAGCCAAGATTGCCTACCCCTGGCCTAGGGTCATTCTATGACAGGGGTGTCAAACTTGCAATGTCATGTGACGTGTCGCGATGTATCACAACTTTTTCCCCATTGCCAGAGCTGGGGTGGGTGTGGTTTCGGCATAACGCATCCGGCCCATGGGCCAGCAGTTTGACACCCCTGCTCTATGAGATAGGTAGCCACATAGTTCTTTAAATAAATATATAAATTGAATCAATCAATAAAAACCACCCCCTCCAGCCAACCTATAAATATATATCCTATCATATTTAAATTTCTCATACTCTCTTTTGGAGTAATTGAAAGCGGTACCAACTTAACCAGCCCACTTCTGTTACTTAACCAAGTTAGCAACCAATTTGCTGCTTAAGAAACAAAACAAAATAAAATAGCATCAACCATTCTATTTACAAATGCCTGCTGGACCAGGTGCAGAATTTTACAGGATAAGTGAGACTTGTCTGATGATAGTAAGACAGAGATGGGGCTCAGGTTCAAAGAGATATGCAGATGATCAGAAAAAAAAACCATCTAGGGAGCAGACAAGAAGGAAGCAAACGCTCTGGAACAGTTTTTCCTCAACCTTAGCAACCTTAAGATGTCTGGACTTCAATTCCCAGCCTGCTGGCTGGGGCATTCTGGGAGTTGAAGTCCACCCATCTTAATAATCTTGCTAAGGATGAGAAAGACAGCTCTAACGGATCGAAGAGGCAGGGAGGACAAGCTTATGAAGAAGGCAGAGAATATATGATACGCTGGGAGACAAGGAAAGGAAGGAAACTCCGCCGAAGATGTTACTTACCCTGATAATGAAAGGTTCGGAAACCAACCACAAGCTCGGAGAACGAACCTCCACCCTTATCCTACACCCGGACTACAGATATTTGTCACCATCGCAAAGGGAGGTGTGATTCAATGGAAACTACAAAGAACCCAGAGCAGCCTTTTCAAATGTGCAGCCTTGCAGGACTGGGGGGGGGGGGGAATGTTTCGTTGGAATTGTAGCAACCTTGATTTCCAAGTCTTCGTAAGGCAGCAATGTCAAGAATCGTCCTTGAAGCAACTCAGAACCCTTGAGAAATTTTGCAGAAACTCACATGTAGTGGAACGTGTAGTTCTACCTATTAATAGTAAAACACCAGTGGCTGGGATACATTTGAATCTTATGCGTGTTAAATAGAGTTTGGTATAATAGGGTTAACTATGATTCCTGTAGTAAAAGCTTCTGGGAGGGACTTTGCCAAAAGCATAAGGCTGCATGGAAGTAGTGACTCTGCTACCATGTCAGTGACTCATACAAACACAATGACTCACTTGACATACAGTCACTTTTAAAAATACTAATTGGATTATTTCATTACTATCCATGCAATACTTATTGTTACTGTATGTGCCTACAATAACAACACTGCTATTAAATGGATCCACAGTATAAACTGTGAACAGAGATTACAAATCGTATAAAACACAACCCTGAAAACTTGGACCAGACTTAGATCGGCATTTTAATACAATCTTACGCTTACTTCACACTCACTTAAAACACGCACCGAGGACGCCCCTGCATATGTACAACGCTCCAAAATGCCTCGGAGTAATCCCAAAGGTGCTTTTTCAAAAGGAACTGAAAAATAAAGTCCAGTTGCCTTTTGGGACAACCGTGACCTCGATGATTGAGGATCTCCACAAGATACATGCCCCGGAGTAACTTCTACGGAATTCCGCCAACGCTTTCCTCCCAGGAAGCGGTGCGAACTTGGAATCCCGCGCGTGGAACTTGGAAACGCTCGGAGCACTCTCGCGCTCCGCGAAACCTCCAAAGGGGAGACCGAGCTTTGGAAGCGAGAAGGGGACGGCGGCCTCGCAAGTGTGTTTCCGCGACTCAAGCGGGTCCTGCCCTTCTGCGCCCCCTGCAGCCGAGAGTCGGCGCGGCCGACCGTCTCTTCTCTCCGCTCGACTCGCTGGAAAGGAGCTACTGACCTGGCATTATGGCGGCAAGGGTAGCCGGTCTGGCGAGGCAGGAAGCGTCTTTGTGCCGCGGCTGGCGAGCCCTCCCTCACGCGTTTCCTCGGGGGAGTCTTGCTTTTTCCGAGAGGCAGGAGGCTCTCCAGCTGCGCGGCTCTGATTACAGGCCGGCCTCTCGTCCCCGCGGTTTTCCTGCAAGCCTGCCAGAAGCAGCGGAGGAGGAAGTGGGCTTGGTAGCCGCCGCCCGGCCAACAAGAGCGGTGGCGAGAAGTTTCTTTCCTCCCCGCCTGCCTTCCGAGGACTTGGCCAGCGGATTGGAAAAGCCGAGTCGAAACTCTCGCATTTTGCCTCGCGGCTGGCTCTGAAGCGCCGCTGCTGGGATCTTTGGGGAGGAAAAAGAGAAAGGGAATTCTGCTCTTCGGCCGGAGCTTGTTTAAGCCTCTGAAGGAAACAAAATATGTAGCAGAATCCAAGGAAATGGCAGACGATTGAGATAACCCTCTGCCCTGTAATGATCAGGCAACTTGTATTTGGGGGTCAGTCTTCAGAGCCTAATTGTAAGAAGTGCCACCCTCCATAAGAAGCCATAGAGAAGGCATCCGGGTCTGAATACAAAACCAGCAGCTCTTAGGCCTGTGTTCAGATGTTACAATGAATTTGCAAGAACGAGCAGAAGTGCCGTAGAATGACCCTTATTATGTTCACGGAACATAAAAAGCTGCCATACACTGACCATTTCGCCTTTTGCTGACTGAGAAGCATCTATCCGAGTTCAGGGTTACGCCAAGGACTAGACTGGGGGCTCCTTGAATCAGAGGACTGGTTGAGTTCAATGGGGACTCCCTGAGCTACTCCTAGTGGTTGGAATGATATAGATGTTGCTCTGCCTGTGGGTGTTGGGAGTTTTTGAGTCTGATCAAACTTGGAACCTCTAATTGCAATTGTATGATTTTTTTTTTCCTCCAGCCATTCAATTGTATCCAATTCTTGGACACTGCCTGGACAAGCCCCTGCAGGGTTTTTTTTAGCAAGGCTTTTCAGAAATGGTTTTCCATTGCTTCCTTTGTAGGGCCGAGAGAAAGTGACTGGCCTACGGTCACCTACATTGTGCCCAAGGCAAGACTAAACCTCACCATCTCAGTTTCTAGCCTGATGACTTAAGCACTGCACTAAACTGGCTTTCATGAATTCTTACTTACTGAAACGGAGACAGTGAGGTTTAGTCTTACCTTGGGCATGATAATCTTAGGCCACTCACTTTCTCTAAGCCCTATGAAGAAAATAATGACAAACCACTTCTAAAAAGCCTTGCCAAAAAAACTGCAGGGTCTTCTCCAGGCAGTGTCCAAGAACTGAATGAATGGAGGGGAAAAAAAGAATCCATACAATTGCAATTAGAGGTTCTAAGTTTGATTCTGTTTAAACAGGGCTAATGCTGAATTAACATTAACATTCCATTATTGTTGTTATAACTTTGACCAGGATGTAATGAAACAAACAATGGTAAAGGAATCAATTGAGATGATCACTCTTAGTAAAGGACTCGTGCTCTTCTCTTCACATGAGGTGATGATAATGCCTGAAATGGAAGATTTCTAGGCAGATTACAACATTGTTTAATTAAATTTTTCTAAATGTCAGGGTAATAGCTAAACAGCTTATGTAATGATGTAATGCAGGGGTGTCAAATTGCCCGCCCACGGGCTGGATGTATCATGCCGAAACCCACCCCATTGCCGGCAATGGAAAAAAAGTCACGATATGTCACAACATGTTGCGAGTTTGACACCGCTGATATAATGGAATATAAGGTGGATGATGCAATGATAGGAATGACTCAGCAGGGTCTGTGTCCCTTTAAGAGCCTGAGCATAAAAGGGAAGGCTTTTGCTGGAGTGTCTCTTGTCTGTTTCCTGCTGTGACTGCTGTGTGTTGGAGTTTGTGTATTACCACATGTATGTATATTGTTCCTGGTATATTATAGATAGTGTAAGATAAGCCACCATTTAATATAGACCACTGTTTACTGTATTTACTCCTGGGGTATCTCAGCGCAATAAAACTGCATGCTCTGACACTAAACCATAAGGAGGGGGTGGGGAAGAGAATTATACACTGCAGTTAATAGCAGAGAAAACATTAAGTCAATATTCTGGAGTTGAACAAGCATTTAAAATCAAACAGAATACAAAAGTATGAATTCTTGGGGAAAATTGAAAGTCTTTGAATAAAAATATATTAATACAAGTGTCCCATGTGCTTCATTTGTATATGTGTGGGGGAACATTCTGCAGTCCAAAAACCCCTTATGAGGATGTGGTCACCCCTCTCATTTTCTTTGTTAGAGATACTGGAAAAGTAAAGGCAACTTTGTTAGAGATACTGGAAAAGTAAAGGCAACTGTGGCCTCAAGCTGTTTAAGTAAATATTGAAAAAATATAAGGATTTCAATTTGGACAAGTTCTTCTCTGTGAGATATTTAAAACTGATTTATATGACTTCCAGTTCCGGGTTACAGCGCTCCTAGTCGCACGAAGAGGCTTGTCTCCTCGTCAGCTAGCCTCCCTCTGCCGGTAGATCCTTATGCAAGTCTAAAGTCACCCTAGAGCAGTGGTTCTCAACCTTTTTAATGCTGCGACCCCCAACCAGTCGTAAGTCAAGGACTACTCAACTGGTCGTAAGTCGAGGACTACTCAACTGGTGCAGCACCATTTGCAGAATGGGACTTTTGGCGGGCTCAGCAGGGCAGAGACAGCCTGGACAATTCCTATTAGCTTTTGAAAGCCAATAGAATTAGACTCTATTCAAGAGAATCTATTCTATTGGCTTTCAAAAGCCAATAGAATAAAAGGGAGTAGCACAGCTAAGGAAAAGGAGAAAAAATGGCAGACTGCGTTGTTTGGTGACCCCCGTGAAATGGTCGTTCGACCCCAAATGGGGTCCCGACCCACAGGTTGAGAACCACTGCCCTAGAGGGTGTGACTTCTGTCGAAGAGCCTTCGCTCGACTGCGGAGGAGCAGCGGCTCCTCCAGTTGTCCGGGCCAACTCTGAGGATCAAAGAGAAGAAGATCGGCCAGTAAAATGGCCGATCACTTAGCCACTAGTAACTGCAAGTCAAAGAACAGCTAAGTTTGAAAACCCACCGTGGTGAATCCGGATGAGATCTTTTTTTTTCCCTCCTCTCTTTATGCCTTTTTGCTTCTTTTTGCCTGTAAGAGCCCTCTTGGAACTATTTCCATGGCTTGGAAAGGCAGCTTCTATATTTGGGAAGAAAGGCGAACAAAAGAATAGAACAAAACTTCAAAGACTACATTTTTTCTTTATATAAGTTTTGGGGTACTGGAAAAAAGTTTTTTCCTAAGAATTCTACTATCAATCTATGCTGTTCTGCTGCTTTTTTTTTTTTTTTTTAGTATTTCTTCCTCCACCTTTTCCTGAAAAAATAGAAAAAAGTGAAAAGAAAAAATGACTTTTGAAAAAGATTTCTTAGCTTGCTGAGGACATCTACTGGTTAAAAGCTAATATTGTATTTGTTGTCTATCTGGAGAGGAGATGGTTTTGGCCTTTAAACTGTTCTTCAAGAGAAAGATAATTCGATGCATCTGAACAATTTTTAAAATGGAGTTGCACTCACATTTAAATAGTAAACTTATTCTGGAAAAGATCTATGAGGCTAAAGAAGAAATATGTGTTACAATGAAAGAGTTTTGTTGTTGTTAATTGCGAAGTCGTGTCTGACCCATCGCGACCCCATGGACAATGTTCCTCCAGGTCTTCCTGTCCTCTACCATCTTCTGGAGTCCATTTAAGTTCACACCTACTGCTTCAGTGACTCCATCCAGCCATCTCATTCTCTGTCGTCCCGTTCTTCTATTGCCCTCAATCTTTCCCAGGAGTTTACTATAGAATTAAGAGCCAGAATCTCTAAATTAACTTTCAGACTACACCTGCTTCTTCTATAAAACAGATTACACAAGAAGAGGATTTGACTGAGAATAAAGAGAAATTGATTTTGCCTTATAAGCAAGTCATTTATGGTGCTGAGGTCCAGAAAAAGCAAAGATTGAGACTTGAAATTTTAAAGCAACAAGACTTTATGGTTAAGAGTCAGAGGACCAATGCAGAGGCCAAGATGGTTCTCACTGATCCAAATGACACTACAAGCAATAAAGAGAGACTTATCAGCTGGAAGAGAAGCTCTGCTATGGAAATCTACTTGGCATAAGAAGAAACCCAGAATAAGACTGAAAAAAGTGAAAGTGAAAGTTTTATGTAATGGACTAAAGGCAACCTAGAATTATGGACTGATGTAAGGACTAAGATTATGAATTAGATGTAAGGGAAACAAATGATTAATGGAAGATACACAATGTTTATCTATATGAAAACTATTATTTCTAATAAGATGATTTATTTGTTTGATGCTCAATGAATTGAAATAATTTAAGGTTTGATGTTATCTTGTCAGCTTAAAGAGATTGATTGATGGATTAGATAGGTCTAGGATAGATCAATATTTTAGCTAAAAAAGGAGATATTTTCAGGAAATAGATTAAAGGTAATCTAGAATTATGGGTTGATTTTAGGATTAAGATTGTTAGTTAGAAGTAAAAGGGGTGATTAATGGAATATATATTAACTGGATTAAGAGTGTTCTCTTTTTAGGATGATAGGGTTACTTGTAAGAAAATTATTATGTAATGTTGAGTTAATCTTATAAAATGATTTGATTGTTTGATAACGTGGATCTTATTAGTTATGACAATTAACTGGATGTAATTTGAATTTTGTTTAATAGATTGAAATGATTTAAGGTCTGATTTTCTTCTGTCAGTTTAAAGAGATTGATTAGTTGATGGACTAGATATGTATAGGATATTAATATGTTATTTTAATTAAGGGATATTAGTGGAAGAAGAATTAAATAAGATTTATGATAAAAATCAAGAAACTAGAATATGTCTGGAAGGAATACCCGAATTGATAATGTTTGTATTTAAAGTTAATTTGATTATGATAGTGTAAATTTCTAAAGCTTTAAAAACAGATATAGATTGAATAAATTTAAGCTAGAATTGGACTATTTTAAATAAATTATGTTACTTAAGGGAAAAAGAGAGGGAATATTAGATGTATTGACTGAATTATGTATATATGTTTTGTCTTTGGATATTTGACTACCCTAACACCATGGTGTGTCTTGAGCATTTTGTTTGAAAAATTAAAAAAACAATAACATTTCTTCCTAAAAAAAATCTGATTTATAATAATTTTCTCCCAGCTTATTCCTTTCCTTTTTCCTGCAAACCTTCCAATTCACCAATCGTCATAAAAACCTTTGCCTGAAGATACAATGAAGATTACAGTGGGTCAGATTTGTGTTTGCAAATCTGGCCCATTCATCCAAATTGAATATGTATAGATTATTTCCTGACATGAAATAATGTAATGTTTTCTTCTTGCCAGGGCAATCCCACGGAATTCAGTGGAAATCTTTTAAAATAAAATCAACCCTTTTGCAGTTTGGCTTGAATATTGCACAAATGGAACTGCAAGTGAGAGCACCCCATTGCTTGCACAAGTGGAACTGGCCGCGCATGTGCACTTGCCCACCGCTCGCACAACCCGGTTCCAAATGGGCTGTGCCCCAGTATGGGCCACGGCAGGGAGTTGGGGATCCCTGCTCTAGAAAAAATGTCCAAGTTCCAGAATTTCCAATCAACGTGGAACTAGGTAACGGTTTGTTCTTCACATTTTAGATCAGCTTAGATTAGCTGATTGTGTAAACAGTGCCAAATTTAGAAGTGTGGACACGGGAATGTACAACTGGAAGTCAAGGCAAGATATGATCCAGCCAAAGTTCTGAGAAGAAATGGCTCTCTGGTTCAGTAACCCTCTAATCAACATGTTAGGACCTTGTGAAATATGCACGCTCAGTTCTTAATCTCACTGATGTGCAAGCAAAAATAAGGAGAAGTGTGATTCATCTGGGGAGTGGTTAATACACCTGTTGCTACAGGCAAATTTCCCAGTCACTAGGAAGTACTGCAAATTATTTAAGAGCTACCATGGAGGTCTTAGTTTGCCAACTACTCCCATGATTCCAAGTTCTAGAAAGATATAATAAGGCTGGTCATTTGGAATCACAGTTGTGACTTAATATCTGAAGTGGATTTTACAACCAAGGTTATAAGAAAAGGTTTCCAGTTGTTGCCTATATATGGAATGCTGTCCTTGAAAAGCCCTCAGACTTAATCTTCACTAATATTAGTGCCAGTGTTGGTGGAAACAAGCCACGATCCCTCCTTGAACTCCTGCTTTAAGTTCTAAACTTGGGAGAAAGAGGCATCATTCCAAAAGATCCTTGGAGTTCCTTCTCTCCATATCCCTATCCTTTACAAATCACAATCACACTTCTGAAGATACACCTATTTTTTATTAGCAGATCTAAAACCTAACAGTCAAGCATATTGTCTCAATATATGTACTGTAATTATCTCTATAATAAACTGCTACATTGACATGTCCGGAAATAATATCAGAAATATTTCCCACAGAAGAATAAATTCAGTCCAAAATAAGATTATTTGCAGTTGCTAGTGCTGAAAAACTATACAGCTTTTCCCCTGAATATTGTTGCATACCATAGATTTTTACATGGTTAAAAGTTATAAAAAGAAAGACTGAAATATCCCAGCAAACAAAAATAATAAGCTGAATAGATCCACACAG